GGCGGGAGACGTCTACAACCGCCGATACCGAAGACTTGGTGTCGCCCGTGCGGAGAAATATCAACCGCGATCGACCTCTGCATACACCACAATCGCCGTCCCCAACACAACTGAATGAAACGCTTCGTGCGGCTATCCAGGCGGAAATCAAGGCAGCCCTGACGGCCCTCGTCTCAAGAATCGTGGCTGAGCTCAAATCCATGATCATCACCACCATCTCAGGGCTCCACGCCCCCACACTGGATACACAACGATGAACCACACGAACGGCATCGCAATATTTCCGGAGGCCTCGACACAAGGTAGACCCATAGCCATGCTTCTCCCCCAACGCCCGCCACGAGATACCACCAATGTCGAGAGCCCAACCCTGCGCAGCTCCGAGTTCCCCCCACTTGAGACGCCTCGCGCGAGATCAAGATCGAGGGGCCGATCCAGGTCACGGAGCAGAACTCCCCGTCGACTAGCCAAACCCAGCAGGTCGAGGTCAAGATCAAAGGCCAGGCACAGCATCGGGTGGAGCGAGGTGGTAGCCGGTCACCTCAAGACCAAGCCAACCTCACGCACTGCAAACAAGACTTCCACCAAGCTCTCAGAGTTGGAGACTATGGTGGAGAACCTTCAAGACTCAGTAGCACGACTTCTGCTACAAACTGCAGAGTCCGAAAGACGAAGGAAGGAAGCCGAAGTTCGGTATAGCGCAGTACAGCAGCAACTCGACTTGCCGAGAAATGAAGCAGGACCAACTCCCAAGAGGAGGGCTGTCCGCCGCAACATGACACCACTCACTTCTAACCCCTCGGGCACAACCACCAAGGATGAAGGAGTGGCCATGCAACAGGACACGACCAACCAAGACATAGACACACGCATAGACCAGCTGGAAGGCGAGATGCGCGAAGAACAGCGCTACTTGAAGACCATCCTTGACAGACTCCCACAACCCAACAATGGCCAAGACAAGTAAAGGTTGCATTGTGTGGCAGTGGAATTGTCGAAGCTTGGCTCCGAAGAGGGGACACCTTCACCAGTGCCTACAATCCCTACCACCAGAACGCAGAGTAGACGTTTTGGCCATACAAGAAACGTGGAAGGCCATCACCATTCCGGGATACCAAGCCTTTAATCACACCAACTCATCAGGGGTCGTACGAGTCACCACGCTAGTGCGACGCAGCCTACCAGCACAACTTCATTCAACCGGCATCGAAAACATCGAGCACACCTTCATCGAAATCTTGGCGGGCAAGAAGAAGAGCCATCGCAGCACGTTCATCCTCAATGTATACAGTCCTCCGAAGGCACGACACTCGTTTCACCGGCTCCTGCGCGCCGCCACAGACATGGCCAAGGGAAAAGCTCTGCTCATCGTTGGTGACTTTAACGCACCACACATGTCATGGGGCTATCCGCAAGACAGCGCTAAGGGTCGGCAGCTTTGGCAGGACATTGCCACCCTGGGACTGGACCTACTTACAGACCCGACGCAGCCAACTCGGAAAGCCACGCGCGGATGCAAAGACACATCACCAGGCCTCACACTCGGTCACTGCTTGGACGCAGAATGGCACAACACCCTGGAAACTCTGGGCAGTGACCACTATATCCTCAACATCCTCCTGAGACGCGGCCCTACGAAGCCCATGGGAAGGCCTCTGCGAGTAGTCGAGTGGGACACTTTCAGGCAGGAGCTTGACGAAGTGGACCGAGACGGAGGGATCAAGGACCTGGATCAGTGGACCGCAGGCATCAGAGAAGTTGAAGCCTCAGCCACAAGAAACATTCCCGAGGAAGCAAATCTGACCGCGGCGGACAGTCGGCTCCTGCACCTATGGGAAATGAAGGCAAACCTTGAGGCACGCTTAAGGCGAAAGAAAGGAAATCGTCGGCAACGCAAGCGAATCGCAGCATTGTACAAGACCATCGAGAGTCACGCTACCTATCTCACAACTAAGCAATGGGAAGACACCTGCAACGAGTTCGAAGGAGCTACCAACACTCCAAAGACGTGGAACATCCTTCGACATCTCCTCGACCCCGGACAAAGCCGAACCACAGTCCGAAATCAGATGGAGTGTATCCTGAACTCATTCAAGGGAGATGGAAACGAGCTTGTCCAAGAAGTACAAAACAAGTATATCGGACGAGCTCCGCCAACACCTGCGATGGAATACACGGGCCAGCCAAACACTACGCTAGACGAAGAGTTCCGACCCTTCGAAGTCATGGCTGCAATCCGAGAGCTCAAGACCCGCTCCGCTCCAGGACCTGATGAAGTCTCCAACAAGCTACTGCGGCACTTGGATGACAGAGAGATTGACCGGCTGACATCATACTTCAACGTCTGCTGGCAAAAAGGAGAAATCCCAGAATCCTGGAAGACTGCGAAGATGGTGTTTATACCCAAGCCTGGGAAAAAACTTCAACTGGAAGCCCTGCGCCCCATTTCGCTCACGTCCTGTCTCGGGAAGGTCTTGGAGCATGTCGTACTCAATCGCCTTAACAGGTACGCAGAGGCCAACAAAGTCTTCGCGGACACGATGGTCGGGTTTAGACCCAAGCTCTCGACGCAGGACGTGATGCTCCGACTGTATCATCAGATTGTGGCACGGGAATACGCACCCAAAAGGGACACCAGAGCCATACTCGGGCTGGACATCTCCAAAGCATTCGACAATGTCAGCCACGCAGCCATCCTCCGTGGGCTAAACTCCATTGATGTGGGCGAGCGCATCTTCAAATACATACAGAACTTCCTATCAAGTAGGCAGGTGCAGGTCTCGATCGGCAGTTTCCAATCTGACCTGCAAACTCTGGGCGGAGTCGGAACACCGTAAAGCGCGGTGCTCTCTCCGTTTCTCTTCAGTATCGCCATGAAAGATTTACCGACGAAACTACAAGGTATCCCCAACCTTCACCACAGCATATACGCAGACGATGTCACTCTGTGGATGGTAGGAGGAAGCGATGGCGCCATCCAAGACCCGCTGCAAGAAGCTATACGTGTCGTGGAAGCCTACGCTAAGGAGCGCGGACTAGCCCGCTCTCAGGAAAAGTCGGAGTTGCTACTCATGGCCGGCACCACGGTAAAAACTCCCTCAGGCATCATACTGCAGGTCGGAGGCAAAGACGTCCCTCGGGTCCGGCGACTTCGGATACTCGGTCTGTGGTTGCAGGAGGACGGCAAGAACACATACAGCATCGGAGTCCTCCGTAACCACGCACAGCAAGTAGGAAGACTCATAGCAAGAATCGCCGGAAAACGGTACGGGATGAAAGAGCGGAATGTCATTCGCCTCATTCGCCTTCGTGATTAGCCGGATTGCCTACATTGCACCCTTCCTGGACTTGACACTCATGGAGAGGGATGCCATCGATCGCATCATCCGCTGCGTATACAAGAAAGCGCTCCACCTAACACCTTCAACAGAGACCAAGCGACTCGAGAAGCTTGGGCTTCACAACACCCTCTCGGAAATCATTGAGGCACAGAGGATAGCCCACTACGAAAGGCTATCTCTGACCACAGCGGGAAGAACCATCCTCACATCTTTGGGCATCAACTACCACCCAACAGGGCACAATACGCGAGGCTGGCTTCCAAACGAGCTACGCGAGCAACTAAAGATTTCGCCTCTGCCTCGTCACATGCATCCAGTGCACGATGCAGGCAGACGCACGGCCAGAGTTAAGGCTCTGGAGAACACTCTACAACAAGGCTACGACGACTCCGAGGTGACCTATGTCGACGCAGCCTCAGCTGACAGGGGTCGAATGACCGTTGCAGTTACGAATCGCTCCGGCCAAATCCTCACGGCAAGCAGCATGTACACCAGCAACAGTGCAGAGGCAGAGGAGGCAGCCATCGCCTTGGCCCTCACCCTCAGCACCACGAAAGTCATCGTCAGTGACTCCCAGATCCCCATCCGCCACTACATGCGTGGTCACATCTCTGACAAAGCCCTCAAGATCGCCACTGGTCATCGTCTGATTGACCACCCAGTTCGCATGCTGTGGTCTCCAGCCCATGCGTCACTCCCAGGCAACGAGAGTGTTCACAGTGCAGCCTGCGCTCTTACCAACCGGGCTAGCACACCAAGTGAGCACTCGACCTTCGCCACGTGGAACCACGACAACCTCTACACCTTTAAGGGGGCGCTGGACCACTACCGAGTAGAACGCCGAGCCTACCCAGAGGCTCACAGCACTCTCAACAAGGCAGAATCCACCATCCTCCGTCAAGTCCAGACGGAGACGTTCCTCAACCCGGCGCAGTTGCACTCGTGGTACCCAGATACCTACGACCCGTTTTGCAGGAACTGTGGCGAGATCGCCACACTCCACCATATACTCTGGGGGTGTCCGGAGCTGCTTCTTCATTCGAAGAATAAGGAGTTCATCAAGCAAGCCAGGCAACCAGGCGCCTAAGAATCCTTCCTGCGTGATCCTGACCCCACGACTCAGAAAATTCTAGTCCAGCTGGCCTCGGACGCCGCCGGGAACATCGCGTCTCGTCTGTCGACCGAGGGGATCGCTTTGTCAAGAGTCTCTCCCTAAGAGAGACTCGGTTGACGCGGGGATCTAACAGTCTTGGACCCAATAAAGTCTACCTCACCTCACCCTACCACCGGCGACGGCGCTTCAAGGCGAAAAAAATCGAGTGGATACGGATGTGGTGTCACTTTTCTGGTTTATATATAATTGCAACTCGTAAATTTGTGATTATTTATTTCCTATTCTTCATACCTTCTCGTTATAGATGAATAGAATTCGCTCTACAGGTGCATAGAGTTTTAGAAGCAGTAGAAGGTGTGAAGCAAAACTCCCAAGATACAATCTGAGCCATCAATGTACCCATTCAAAGCTGGGCTGTACGCAGTCTTTCCGGACCACTACAGAAATACTTTTGGAAGTCAAGTCCGCGGTGCCTCAACGTGTTCTCGCGAGAAATAAATATATGCTAACGATCTTATAGTCGAGTGCGTACAACCTCCTCGCAGTTCCTTCGACTCGGCTCTGCTGTCCGCGCACAAGGAGCGCATGACGGAGCTGGTGCAGAGGGACAAGAATCGACCGTCGGTGATCATGTGGTCCGTGGTCAACGAGCCGCAGTCCGCCCAGCCACAGGCCGACCGCTACTTCGGCGAGCTGGTGGCCCATGTCAAGACGCTGGACCCCACCAGGCCAGTGACCGCGGCACTCAGCGGCCACTACAACAAAGATTTGGCTGTAAGAACTGCCACTTGAGGCAATGCATCGCGTTTCACAGTGAGGCTAAGCATGTTCAAGCCTGTGCAGGCCCAATACGCCTCTTCCTCATCAAGAACTGCGCTCTGATTTCGCGTTACAGTGATTTGTAAACGTCTTTTATTCTTTTTTCACCTTGTTAGACTCCCTAATAAAATTATATAACGAGTTGTAGGTTACAATATTTGGCAGAATTAGATTTTTATAAATTTGTTTGACAATCTTCGTGATTCGGTAGGATGAGCAGTGCTGTCTACGTCATGCGTTATAATAAGGTAAATGCATAATAAGCAGCACAACTACAAGATTAGTCGGTTGCTTAATATGTATCCTAACGCTGAATTGATAGACTTCATGGTTTAAACATAAATCGCAACCTGTCTGCGTGAAGGACTCGAACGAATAATTAAGATGAATTTTAGAAGTACACAATTTTTGAAGTGACCGTATACAAGCTTTCCTAAAGGAAGTGTCGAATGTTTTGTCCAGACCGAACAATTGCGTTGAGCAAAGGTCCGTCCAGCGTGGTTCAGGCACAGTAACTAGAGTTTTCGTCACTGTTTCTTCCACTCCCGAAGTGTAATCGTACCAGACCTAATACATACTCACCAGGCCTGCATTCCAGTAAATTATGAAAACGGATAAAGAGATGACTAACAGTCATCTAAAAATGTCTGCATAAAATGACGGTTGAGGGTTCAGACAGTGAATAACGCGAATGATAGGCAAATTGTATCAAAATCATAGCCTAATCAGCCTACGGAACTCATATATTTTGCAACTCTCAATGAACGACTTAATAATAAAACTATTAGAACATGCAAGCCACCTTCCAACTGAAACATTTCCCTAAATCGGAATATTCATAGCGTTAAAAATTGGGGCTCCCAAGAAGAAAAAAATCAAAAAGGCAGTTTTACAATAAAATAATAAAAAAATATAATAATTTTTTTACATCCAACTAATGTTTTCAAGTGTGCGCCTTTTCAACTCTTCCAGAAAAAAACCTCAGTTGCGCTTCAGACAGACCAGCTATTAGTGTGCCCACCGATTTGCATGAACTTTCGATGAAGGTTCGCGCTGCTTTTTATTATGTTTTTAAAGCATATTTTTTAATAGATCGATCAGATGTGGCTTAAAAAAGAGCGTCTGCAGGTTCGATATCCCCATAGATAGTAACAACCGTGTCTTTTTTTTTTTCTAATTATGCCCATTATTATAGACGTAATTTAACCAGAGCTCCTGAATTATCTCTATGGGTGGCTACCGTTACACTTGCACAAAACTCTGGTACATGCAATATATCACTATTTAAGAGCCGTTTTCAAACAGCTCCAATGGAGTGCAGTAAAAGATTGCCAATAGGTAAGGTCGTAAAACGCCAACATTCGCACCAATAAAAAATATTACCTATATCCCCGAAGTGAGAATCGTGAATAAACACTTGCATCACTGTTCATTCAAGGGACTGTATATAAGGTTGCGAAGCTTGCGGTTCACGAAGATTAAAACATACAGCGCACAAAGATGGGAAAGAAGAAAGAAGACACACAATCGCTGAACTTACGACTAAAGTTTATTCTTCAAGGCGCAACCTTATATTCCACGTTACATTAATCGTCGAATATAAGGTTGCGCCTTGACAATTAAACTTCAGTTGTAAGCTTAGCGGTTCTGTGTTCTCTTTTTGTGGACATTTTAATCATCATGCCTTACCAAATTGCCCAAGCTTTCATTTTAGACGTCCGCATTCGTGGTGGCAACCGTGTCTTCTTTAACCTTGTCTACGATCATGGACGGAATGCAATATCATTCAACTGGAAGCCACTGAACTCTGCTGCTGAACTCTGATACGACCTACCCATCTTGACCGAAGGCTGGCTGAGGGACTCTCCCCGAACCCGTGAATCGCTGTCCGTCCACGCAGGTATAAGCTAGTAGCAGGAACTCGTGTACCGAAATCGCCAGGGGCAACAGGTTTTTCACTCAACATTCGGCCGCCATAACAGGGGTAGAAAAAACCTTACAATTGTTAAGTTTTTCTTTTTTTTTTAATGTGTGTGTTTGAGTGGGTGCGCGACGGCTTTTGGTTCACTATCAATTAATACTGCGAGACCTACGCTCTACAAATGCCTCAGTGTCTTATCTTTGAGTGGCAGATGCGCACCAGCACAAGCAAAATGTCACGAGGGAAGCTCCTTTTTTTTTCAATTTTCTCGAGACGAGGGACGCCCCCGACGGCCTCCGAGCTTCGGTGATCGCAGCTAAGCAGACGGTTCTTGCCTACATCGGTGTACTGCCGACATATTGCGCAACGTGAAAAACAAAATACAGTGGCGGCTGCGGCACCTGCGGCGCCTCGACCGCCAATCTCCGTACAACGACAGGTGCCAACCTGGCCATTACGGCACGCAGAAATTCAAGGTGACACGGAGCTCTTTAAAGAAATCTTTAATATCAGAGAAAGCAAGTCGAAGCACTAGAAAATTGTACATGACAGACGCTGGCGTCGCGTTGAAGGAAGCGTAATAAAACTTTCGGTAGATCGCCTGCTGCACAACCGAGAGCCGACTCTGCCTGCCTGTGGGGAAGCTTGGCAAATATATTTGGCGCCTAGGGAGGTAGGTGCCCATTGCCGACGCCCTGCCGTTCGCTTCTAGTTCAACGCATTTAAGAACTTGTAGATTCTATGTCGTTCTCAGGTATATGAGCCAGACGGTTCGAGTAGGTAGTCGTGGAGATGCGCCTACGATGCCTTCGGCAGATTTGTAATTTTTTTTGAGGAACAAGGGCTTATTCTTTTCATCCAAGAAATCAGGAAGGCGTGTCGATTTGATGTAAATAAAATTCTGGGCGCACCGTAGTTTTTTCTCTGCGTTGAGACCTCTGAAATACGCTCAACTCATTGGGGGTCCTGAAAAACAAGCGAAAAAAATAGTCAACCGGTAGCAACATACACTTTAGAAAGTTCCGCCACGTTTGTTTGCCATTTCAAAAAAAATTAAATAATTACAAAATAGTCATGAAATCACTTTGCAGCGTTTATTTTCGAGTATACATTCGTAATGCGCTTCCTCTCAGGGCCAGTACATGGACGTCATCATGCACAACAAGTACGCGGCATGGTACACCAATCCTGGCTCGCTGCAGGTCATCGAGCGACAGACTATCAGCGAATACGAAGCCATGCATGGCCACTACCGTAAGCCCATCATGATCAGCGAGTACGGGGCTGACGCCGTGACCGGACTGCACGCCGATCCAGCCTTTGTCTTCACCGAAGACTTCCAGGCACAGCTGCTGTTTCATCACCACAAGGCGTTCGACCAGCTGCGCAGCAAGGGATACTTCGTGGGAGAGCACGTCTGGAACTTCGCGGATTTCATGACCGACCAGGATCCTCGCCGTGCCTTCGGAAACCGCAAGGGAATCTTTACCAGGAACCGACAGCCCAAGGCCGCTGCAAAGGTGCTTCGCTGCCGGTACCACAAGCTTTCCGGGAGAACAATCGGGGACTTCGACGCTTACTGTCCTCCGAGCTGAAATAAAACGAAAATCTCTAAAACATCATATCCAAAAACAAAGAAACAAAAAAATTATGACTTTGGCTTTCGTTGCATTAAAAAAAATTAAATTCGCAGCTCTGAATTTATACAACTTACGGTTGCCGTATTGTACAAAGGGTGTGAATATTGAGACAGACGTATAGGACACAAAAATCATCACTTCATTCATGATTCTCCGCCTGGCGATATTATTAATGACAAAGTTGGATTAACCTATGACTTCAGAAAAAATCAACTATAGAGACAGGTTCGAGACTTCGTTGCGCAGCTGCTGGGAGTATATCTGACAGTAGGAGAACTTGAGAATTAAGCACAGTCAAGCATACGTCGTACAAATCATTTTTTTCAGCCTCAGCCCACTTCCCGCCAGCCACCCAGAGGTACTCCGCAAGCGTGCGCCAGATGAGATACTCCAGACAGCCTTAAAAACGCATTGCGTAGTGACTTCCGAGCGGCGAGCACCTTCTTATCGTGCCGCAGGCTACAGGATTGCAGCATGAAGCTTTGTTTTGTTGTTGTTTTTTGACGATATTGGGCTTAGGTGGGCGTCCAATCATAAAGACATTGTGCCTTTTTTTCTATTATCTTTGGGTCCAAGTAACGTCATGTTTTCAGACGTCAGCGTTCTATCACAAACGCTGGCGTGACATTAGGGACTCTTAGCAAACTGTTGCCGTGCTCCGCGTACTGCGCTACCGGACCTATTAAGCGCGCGCCTGGGTGGTACCGCGACCACGGGGCGCGCGCTTAAAAGCTTCAAAGGCTCCGGTAGTGCGGTACGCGGAGCACGTCAACAGTTTGCTAAAGGCCACTATTCTTACGGAGTTCCAGCGTTCTGCAATGCGTAGTTTATTTACACGGACCGACAAACGTTTTCTTTTTCTTACGAGTCCCCGGTATAACCAGAGAATACAAATTTCAAACTAAATATGTGACGAGGCGGGTTTGCTCATGTATGCTCGCCTGCGTAGGCTTCATTAGACTTCTTGAGCTCGCACCTTTACTGTTTTTTGTTGTTGTTTTTTTCTTATAAGAGTGTTAGGTCAAACAACACGAATTTTAACACGCTGATATACAGGGTGTTTCAGAGCTCCTGCGAAAACTACTCTTCGCAAGGAAAAAAGGCTTGTGGCGTTGTGGTTCCTCTGTGTACTTTTGTACTCAGAGGAATCTTTCGCTTGATTAGTCTTTAATTCCCTAAGATCATGATAAAAAAAAGTTTTAAACCTGGAAAGAAAACTTACAAACACGAAACCTTTTTTTTCACAGAAAAACTAAGAGCTACTGCTGGTAAGAGGCAGCAAGTGATTATAGCAAGTGTGCTGGTAACCGGTGTCCTGTTCCAGATAGTGAAGTAAATCAGTCCCTGGTAATAGTATGAACCGGACTGTCACTAAAACCGGCGTACAGATGAGGGGTGTTGGTTGGCTGGTTGTGTTCCAGCAGTCCTCGTTCGCATGCTGTAGTTTATAAAAGCAGATTGACTAACATCTCGGACTCATTCTGCGCGTTAGATGGTCAAGAATAACGAAAGTCCGTCGCCATGGCCGGCAGGTCTGAATGAAATGTATCAACTAAAGGAGACAGAATGAGGAAATTTACATTTTCAATGCCTAATCTGCATGCCGAAAATTAAGCTGCTTCGCGCATCAAAACACTATAAAACTACTCTGTAAATTTTTAACTGTATCCAAGCTTGTTAAGGAGGCTTATCATACATCTCTGCCAAACATATGTACTCGAACAGAAAAGTAACGCAAAAGTAACGTAAAAGTAACGTTCGTTATTTTTTAAAAGTAACGGTCACGGTATATCGTTACGTTTATAAAAGAGTAACGTAGCTCGATAACGCGTTACTTTTTACCAAACTAACGAGTAACGCTATTTCGTTACTTTGTTTCGGTAACGGGCACAACACTGGTTGCACTATTCGCGGGGCGCGGTGCTGCCGGGGCGGAGATGCGCTCCGATAACAAACCAACACCCGTCGAATTTGTGCGGTTTTTCAGAAAGCCGTAAAAAGCTTCGCGTGCCTTCCATCGTTTTGTAATTTTTTTGATTCAGTGGTTTTCGATGATGTTGAGCAATTTTCTAATTTAAACCATGCCCTTAAACACAATATTAACAAAGTTAATTACGCAAAAATAATAACCAAGCTAATTACTCGGGACTTTAATAATTTTCTTCAATGGGCCCCTGGCCAAGGAACAAAACGCCACAAGCCTTTTTTCGTTGGGATAAGTAGTTTTTGCAGAAGCGATTTGGCCTGTGTTCTCTGAAACAGCCTGTATAAATATTTTTTTCTTTTTTTTTCGTAAAAGGCATATTTTTACTATAAAAAAAACGTCCGAGCGCAGCCAAAGCTATGTGTGGCCGGAGCCAATTTCACGCTGGCAATGGGTCACGCGATCTCGCCTGCACTTTTGTATCACTCCGCTGCGCCGCTAGTCGTCCGCGCGGACGACCAGCGGCCCGCCGCGTATTTCGTCTGCTACGAGTGTATCAACAGTGTCGTCTGCTATAGGTTTAAGAAGTGCCCTTTCACGTTCTGAAATTTAGTCACAGCGGATGTCAGTACGTAGGCTGGCCGCTGGCGTCTGCGTCAGAGCTTACCACCTGTTCGGCACTTCATCATATATAGTTTCGAGACGTAAATACACATTGCAAGGTGCCCGATGACCCGGCCGTTGATGTTTCCTTGTATTGTCTGGATATACCAGGGCTCGAGGCGCAGTCCTTTCCACCAGTTTCTCGGCGTTCAATGGGATCAGCAGGTAAAGCGGTGCCCTGATTTCGCCGCGTATCAGTGAATTGTAGTGGCCCGGACGCTTTGCTTGTTTACAACGCATTCGCGGTACGGCGCGGCCGAATTTGAGTCTCCTACCGAATTTGAAAGTAGACATTCATCACGACCTCGTGCGCCTGAAGCCCAAAGGTCCCATTGCGAAAGGACGTTTTGAAGCGACTCGGTGAGGAAAGCAGCGTAACACATGATTCGGCCATTACGGGAACGATATCGCAGAAAGACCGAGCGCTGCAGCCGTGTTGCCAGCGGATGTACGTGTTTTCGCCTAACTACTTGCATTTACATATATTAATAAAAACATCAACTTCAGATGTTTGATTCCTTTGGTTGCACATCATTCTCAGCAGTACATATCTGAAATATTGTGCAATGTTTACGCACAAAACAGTTATTTAAAAAAAAACATTACTTTGCGAACTACTTCGTGGTGCGTAGGATTGCTCTTCTCGAAGTTGCGAACCATCCCTCAGCCTTTGGCTGCGCTTGGACGGAAGCTGAAACAAAGTATAGAAGCGTTTCGCTCCACCTTTTGGTTCAGCGTTTGTCACAGGGAAAAGGGCTAACCTTCGTCTTCTGGAGCCATTTATGACTGTGTGTGCGCGCTAAGTGTTTGAGTCATTTGTTACAGATGTATGCATCAAATATGCATACAGCTTTTTATGTTCGTCGAAAAAACAAAGTAATGTACTTTTTTTTTTTCTTTTTTTTTTTAGAAAACCTTATGAAGCAACGATGGCGGTCGGGGGTGTAAATGTTTCTAGGATAAAGCTGGCACAAGGGTCCTCCCGATTCAATGGATAGTGCCAATACAATTCGTCCACTCATTCATTGGGCATTACTTTTAGCTTTAACCGCGTGATTGGAACCGAGCCTCAAGCCAACACACTCGCCGATCGTATCCAATACGAGCCGAGCATTCAGGACAGTGAAACGATCCCCCTCGTTTCAATTGCGTGTCTCCTTGTTTCTTTGTTAGTTTCTTTTTTTCTTTTTTTTTTTTTGCTTGTACGTTTAAAAGGGTGTTCACTTGGGCTGGTTGGTGGTACATTTCAGGATTAAAAGCGCTAAAAAACTAGGACCAGTACTGTGTGTGTGTCATTCTTTTACTGGTCCTCATTTTTTAGCGCTTTTAATCCTGAAATGCTTGTACGTTTGTTTGTTGTTTTTGTTTGCTTGCTTGTTTGTTTGTTTGTCTGTATGTTTGTTTGGGTAGTATGGGCGTCAAAATAAAGATGATTTATGATCGGGGATGTTGTGGTTTGTTGGCAGTTGGCAGGCGCAGCGAAAACTGCGCCTGCCAACTGCGTGACGAAAATACATATTTATTTATGGGAGATGCAATTATACGCTTGAACACCGTTGTATAGAAGTTTGGGCTTCCTCTATACACAAGCAAGAAGAAATTCAAACTTTTATGAGTATAGCTCTCGTCAGACCAGCTGTAAGCTTGAGAATATTAACATATTAGGAGGGAGAAGGGCAATAAAATGCTGGGTCGATCCAATTGATTTGTAGGGTATTTTTGTATATCTAAGATTTTAACTTTAGCAATTTTTTTTTTTCTCCCGCTTCTCAGGCGTGTTGCGCACGCAGCACGCCCGAGCAAAAACGTCGGCCGGTGTTATTTCAGTGTTCCTGTGTATACAAAGTGCACTGTTCGCATTCCAAAGCGACGAGCAAGTACATGTAGTGCTGTCGCGATTGCGCGTTGAATCGGCAAACATTGAAACAGTGTGAACTTGCGTGCCTTCTCCTGCAAAATCAGCCTGGTACGTATGTTTCATGCGTCAGCCTCAGGTACGTTGGACCAGTAACAAAACGGTGGTTTTTGTGCTGGGCATAATTAATGCTAATGCTATGAGGAAATCGGAAACAGAAAATACCAGCTTTATTTTATTTTGATCAAAAGTAGCTTAAGATCAACGGTAGCTACGCACTTTAGAAAGACGTTTGGTAACTCGCAAGCGTGGTTCAAAGAAGAGCGTCAATGGTATCTCCAGTGATATCGACGCCCCCTAGTGGCAATGCCGAGAAGCTTTGATAGAAGGTTTTTTCGTTACTGTCGTCTTCTTTCGCTGTATGATTTTCGTAAGCAACATAGCATCACCTGCTTGTTTATTAAGATCAACGAAATGATCGCGGTTCAGCAGTGCCGTAGCAAGATTAGGGATGAAAACAGATGTGAAAACAATTTAATGGTGTGTACCTTCCTTCATGTGCGAGGTGAAAAA